TACATACATATGTATGTAACTTAATATCAAAGATTTGCTTGGTTTATAATGGTGAGTGATTTTTATAATTTCTTATTTTTAATTTTTTTCTAAACTTATTTTTATATTTTTACCACTATGTTATTTAAAACTTTTGAAGCCATGGAATTGCATAAGTAAATTTCGTGTTCATGAAAAAATCACTTAATTACTAAAGTCACAGAGAAAGTCGTATTCAATTTCGAAGCTACCGTAAAATTATATAGCCNAAAAGAATAAAAATTTAGAATCTCATAGTTGCTGTAGGAATAAAATCACTTTCATAGAATATTTATGCTTTTTCTAGTAAGCTGACTTGAAGCTCGAAAGTCTTTAATAGAAATTTTACCGCTTTAGTAAAATTTTCAAGGCCTTCAAGGTTTTCGGGGTATTTACCAGCTTAAAAGAGTACCCTTAAGTTAGGTGTTGCCAATTTAAAAAATGTATTTACATATTCTGCCGTATACTGAGTTTCGCCCGAAAAAAATTCACCCGAAAATTTCCGCTGATAAGGCTGATTATGTATAATTAAAAAATTCAGGTTAAAAAATATTTGATTCTGAGCAATGGCTTCAACAAAATTAATGTTTACTTTTGCTGTTGTGAGCGCTTGGCAGCTGTCAAAAAAGGAAGCAATTTACTTAAACAAAATATGCTATGCTAAAAATAAAATTTTTAAGATTTTTCAAATTTTCGCTGACATTTTTCTTATGCACATTTCGCTAGAATACTTGGTGACAAACTTTAGAAAATCTAAATTTATGCAAAAATTGCAAGTTCGAAATTTTCGTAGTTGGATTTGCGCACAATAGGTATAAACCATTATTTTCTTATTTTGCATTGCCTTTCACATGTCTTTAATTATTCTGCAATTTTCGAATCGATTTCGAACAACATGTTCGAAAATTCGAACATTTGGCAGCTTTTTCAAATGACTAAATATTTATTTTTCAATATTCAATGAAATTCGTGACTAAAAGTGTTGGCATACGTCACTTCGAAATTCAAGCATTTTTCATTTAGATACATATTTTAAATTAGATCTATTAGAAATGTTCTGAAATTAGTCCGATTTGAAAACGGTATGATTTACGAATTTCAACTTTTACACAATACACAAAAATTTGGCATTAAATAGATAAATATGACGTAACTGAGGAGTTCTTAATAATAATAATATTTTGGCGCTGACATTTTTGCTAAGTGTTTGGCCGAGTTCTTAGCAGCTTTAGTTTCAAATATTTTTATTAAAACTATTCAGAATTATTTTGCAAATCGAGCAGATTTCAAATCGTACGTTTTTTACAAAATGCTATTTTTTCGAGACAATAAAATTAAATATTCGTAAGTAGTCTGCCTTAGACCTGATTTTGGAATTAAATTCGGATTTTCGAACAAATAACTTCTGTTATGATTTTTTCAGTTTACATTTTTCCTATGTAGGACCCCTTAAGTCTGATTTTCGAAACAAGTTCGAATTTTCGAACATTACTTTTGGTTGTGAGTTTTGAAGTAAATAATTTCCGATTTTAGTTTTTCTACGTAAGACATCCCAAACGTGACTTTCGGATCAAGTTCGAATTTTCGAACAAATTCTTCCATTTGAAACTGATGTATTACTATTTTGAAACATTATAGTTATTTAGCGTAAGTTTTTGTAATAGAAAAGTGAATTTTTTATATTCGAAGTTTGTTATAATATGTAGGTATTTCTATATCTTTCTGAAGATTTCTTGTGCCTACCGCTAATTTACTCATAATTTTCCATACAGGCCCTCTTGCAATGCACAAAAAGTTTATTATGATTATCGAAAATGATTTTTTTACTTATTCCAGTTTTTTCGCTCCAAATGATATGAGCAATCTGTTTTAATAGCTTATTTAAACAACAAGCACTATTAACTAAAATTCCGTTCCCCTTGCCTCTTGCCGCTGGTACTATTATTTGTAATTTTTTTAAATTATTTTTCATAAGCGGCTTTTACAATTAAAATACGTGATCTACAGTTCGTTACAATTCATATAGGATTTTTAATTCAACTGTTGTCTTACGGTACAAAATTTTTAGTACATACTATAAATTCTTAAGGAAATTAAGAAAATAATTTCTTAAAAGTAGCCAATTGTCGCAAATCAAACATTTTTTTGTTTTGATTTTTATGAGATTTTCACTTTACGGTCACAGTTTAAACCAGAGTATATTAAAATAAATCTTTTTGTAAAAATTTACAGCTTACCTTATTTACATAAAAGCATTTGAATTAAAAACATTACATATGCATAAATATAAAAAAATAGGTTAAGTTAGACAAAAAATTAAACTATGCCCGCCTCCAGTCTATCATGTGACTATGATTTCATTATCCTGATCGAGCAAAGCACCCATTAGGAAATTCTGCTCCATTTCATCTGCCGTTGGAATGAGTGGTTTAAATGTGTTGGACACTTGCTCCTGCAACACCAAATTAGTCATAATGGGCGTTTGTTGCTGCACCAGCTCCACGCGCACCTTTTCCCCGCCATTGATGGCCCCATCTTCGAAGGAAACCATTAAGTCATTGTTATTCAATTGTACGTTGTCGGTGCCAAGTATGCTCGCTACCGCCAAAGAGTCCTCCGTCTGCCGTGATGCTACTTGTGCATTCGAGAAAGTCATTGCGTTACTATTATTATTGTTATTGTTCGGCTCTTCTGCGATATTTCCAGTAGCATGCACTGTACGTAGATGAGCTATAAGCAAGGGAGGAGTATTAATGATGGAAGTAGCAATGAAAATTGTATGTACATATGTATATGTATGTATGAACTATGGATGCATGGCGAGGTGAGTCTGTCTATGAATGTGTGCGTATGTGTGTGATTGCGTGACTCACTTGTCAAACGATTGCGACCGAAGAGACAATCACAATAATCACAGGCGATCAACTTATGATTGAGATATGCGTGATCGTGAGCCTCTTTAATGGACGATGCCCTGGCGCCGCAATTGCGAATGGGGCAGTGAAAGCTATCATCGGGTACTATATGCAAATGGGGATGATAGAAAATGATTTCATAAATGGCTTATCGAGTTCCCATTATACTTTCGGGCATATTCGGATATAAGCTCTCAAAATCAGATACAATTTCCGAAATCATTGAAATGCATGAAAATCAAGTTCCGAACTAATATATTTTCTACAAATGGCAAATTAAAACATGTCATGCATAATTTCGAATGTTCGAGCTTCGATGTTTAGCCAAGAAATTCTCAAACGTCCATTTATAATGGTATGTGTTCGAAATTTCGAATTTTCAAATTCTAGTAATTCATTGCATTCTTATTGCCAATATTTTTAAGCGCATAATCCTGTTGATTTAGAATTTCGAAGCTTCTAGAATTATTGGAAACAAATTCAAATTTTCGAACATGCTATATGTATAAAGCATATGTACATATGTATATAATTCACATAAATCATATATATATCATCATATCAGTTAAAACTTGCATACATTGATGAAATTAAATTTTGGCACCGAAAATAAAAGTTTTTTATGTGAACGATAGCGACGGATATCGGTTATAGTTCAGCTTAAAAAATTTAATATTGCAGAAATAAATTATTGAGACATTTAAAAGTATTCGAAGTTGGATTTTTACGTTAACTTAAAAGACTGCGATCACTCTCCAATTAATTACACTTTAATGGTGATAAAATATTTTAACAAGCGAAAATAGAATTTTGAAGTACTTTTCATACATGCAAATGATTAATGAACACTGAAGAAAAAAATTACTGACTATGAAACAATTTTTTGGGCTTCGAGTTTTCGAAGTTAAAATTTTGTATAAACGATAATGGCCAAAATTAGTTTCCAATTAGTTTAAGCATATCAAATATGTATTGATGAATGTTGAAACGGGGTTTGAAGTTGATTTTTTTTGTGTTAAGAATTGTGTTTCCAATTAGTGTAACACTTTCAAAATTGATAAAATAAATTTTTGAGAAATTGAAAAGTTTTAGAGACTAAAATTTCCGAAGTATATTTTGTATGTAAATGAAAACGGCTGCGATCACTTTCCAATTGACTTAACACTTAAAAATTTATCAAACACTGCATTCAGAAACAAAAAAAAAACTTTTGGGAATAACTTTTATGCATGCAAATGACTCATGACCACTACGATTTTTTCTCATCATTTCGCTACAATTTTTGCTCACCTTCTCCATCGCCAGCATGCTCTTTCTGGTGCTGCTGCAATTCGCGCATATAGCAAAAACGTTTTTCGCACAAATCGCACTTTAGATACCGTGGCTTGGCGTGCATCTCCATAATGTGCCGTTTCAACTCGTTTGCATCTTGAAAACGCATCGAGCACTCACTGCAGCCGAACGTGACAGTCCCATGTGTGCCCATATGCTTATCAAGTGTAGCCTGTGTTGAAAAACGTTTATTACAGTGCTCACAAGAGTACAATCTCGGTCGTCGCAATTGACGCGTACGTTCTTGGTACGGAATAACGTGACGCATCGTTTCGATACAATGGCCTTTTTCATCACGCGGCTGCTGGGCGTGTAAACGCAGTTTTTGTAGTGAACTAAACACGCAGCCGCAGTTGGTGCAGGTGGCGCTACCCAAACTATTGCTCCCTGTCTTTTCCGGATGGAAATGTTGTCTGTGTCGACTGAGAAAGGCCATACTTACGAAACCTTTGTGACAGTATTCGCAACGCACTGGCAGCGCTCCATTGTGTGCCTGATATTTATGGCGACGTAGTTCGTAATCGTTTGAAAATACTGCGAAAATAATGTTGAAAAATGTAGCACAATTTTGCATTAGCACTCACATACATATACATATCTAACACGTACCTTCTTGGCATTCATGACATTCAATTTTGAAGTTTGCACGAGGGCGATGCAGGCGTTCATGGGCCTCCAAATTAGCGCGGCGTACAAATATGCGTCCGCATTCCCGGCATCTTAACTTTTTTTTGTTAAGGTGATGTCGTTGATGTGCACGGAAACGATTTAATGGAAACTGGTAGAAGCATTGTTCGCACGTATCACAACGCCAATCGCCCACATATTGACAATGCATCTCATGACATTCCTTTGTACTGCGCAGGGTCTTTTTGCAGTATTCACATTGGTCAGCCCTGGATACGGTGGGGTGCATGAGGCGTACATGGTAGTCGCGTTGCTTAGCGGAATTGTATTTCTGTGGGCAGTACGGACACGTGTAAGGCAGATTGGGGTCGTGCACGTCAAAGAAATGCTGGGAGAGTGCATCGGCACTCTCAAACACCAAGTGATCAATAGAACCGGAATTCGGACAGTAGCAATATTGGCAGGCAAATGGATCGCGTGAGATGCGCGTGGGTGAAGTACCATCTGCCTCCGTTTCGACGTCATCCATTTCGTTGGATTCTTCTTGTTCGGAGCATGAAAGGTAGTCCAGTTCTGGAAATTATACGAACATACTTTATTTAAATTGTTTCTGAATGTTTTTTTCAGTTTACTCACCATCGTCCATCATATCCTCATAGGTAGAAAATGGTTTCTCTTTTTCTTCTTGAACCATTTGTGCTTCTCCTTGAACCATCTGTGCTTCTTCTTGAACCATCTGTTCTTCTTCTTGAACCATATGTGTTTCTTCTCTCACCTCGTCATAAATTTCTGTCTGCACGCTATTCGACTTGTTATTTTTCGGTATTATGCTGCCTTGTAGCATATCTTCCAAATCAATATCTGGCTTTGCGTTCTTCAATGTGCTACCCAAACACTTCGCGCTCGCATTTGTTATTAAAGTTACTGGTGTATTTGTGGCCGCCGTTACTGTCGTAATGGGTGCCTGCTGTGCATAGTAGATATTTTGTGCTGTTGATGCTGCCGAAAACTGTAGTACATTTGTCTCTTCCGTTTTTGTGTCCATGGTGGCGTATGTGGTGATCGAATTAGCGCTGTTGTCCAGCAAAGAGCCATTGTGCATTGTAGTCAACTCTTGTGTCAGCAATGATAGCGTTTCTGCTACACTAGCAGGCAATTGCAGCCCATCCAAGCAGGCTATGACATCAGCACTGGTTGTTGGCGGTTGTAGGCAATCTAAACTTGCCATTAATTCGGCGCTTGTTACTGGCGCATCAATCTTCAGTCCGCTTAGCATATCGTTGCCATTTGTCAAAGCTGCGCTAGTTTGCGACTGTGGCGACAGCGATGACGCTTGTTTGCTGCCGCCTGCCACAGTTGCAACATTTGCATTTAAACCAACGCCCACAAATGATTGCAGCAACTTTTGCTGTGCCAATACGCATTGCTGTCGGAATGAGTGAATGTTGCAGAATTGTGCAAAGCAATTGGCACAAATTTGCTGTGGTAAACCATCGTTGGCTGAAATCTACGCAATACATTTGTTTTATCAATATTTTCAATATATTGTGAAATCGCAGCAAATCCAATCGATATACAAAAAAGCATACTCACGTGTAATTGCCACGCCACCGATTGCGTTCGCACAAAATCCAATTGCTCCTCAAGTCCAGCTAGGGGCTCAAAAAGGTGCACAAATTCAACCTCGGCGCCGGTCACATAGAAATTTGCACATAGGCGACACGCTTGTACGTGAGCAACCTGATCCATAACCTGCTTAATGCAAACAAGCTCTGGCGTTATGTTGCAGAGTATGCGTAATTTTAAGCTTTAAATAAATAGTTAATTAAATTTCCACACCACAAAATACAAAAAATGTAATCAGAAAAAATTCACTTCAACGCGTCTAGGAGTTGTCTTTTTCACCGCACGATGATTGATAAAGTCAGCTGTTATTTGTTTTCCGACGTTCGCGCGCGGTACGTTCAGTGCAGGCAGAGAACGCCAACAAAGCGTACGGAGTAAAATAGGCGGGAACAATTTGAAAAAGTGGTGTTGTGTGTTCAATGAGTGGTGAATATGTTGGTTGCGAAACGGTTATCAGCTGGAGAGGTAAAATGGGCGAGCCTCCATCAGCGTTGGCACTTTGCTACGTTTGTAGTAAAACCTGCTAAGATTTTTCAAAAATTTTAATTTAGTACTCCACTACGCGTATACTATTTTTTCTAGACTTTTTTATTTACTTCAACTGACACTACGTTCACCTTGAGCCATTAACTCGTGTTGACCCATACACTTTGGAGTTTAACGCTAAACTCTGCTCTTAAACTCTGAGTTTACTATACAAAAAGTTTTCGTTAAACTCTCCTTATGCAACGTTCATGCTGATATTACATAACTTTTATTTGGAGTTTATGTAAATGCAATCCTTTTTTTTCGAATTTGGTTTTTGTGTTTGATAAACTTGCCGACAGTTAGCCTGTTTCCATACTGCAGGATTTAATCAGAAATAGCCCAAGGTCGGTCCGTGCATGTACTACTACTTCGGACTATTTCTGTGCAAACCCTGGAGTACGGGAACAGGCTAAACACGAATAAGAAAACGTAAACAAACAAATGTCAAATTGAACTCTGAGTTTCTTAAACACCCCAATAAGCACAATTGATAGTTGTTCATAAACTCAAAACTTTAACCTCGAGTTAATGGCTCAACGTAAACATAGTGTTATGTGCAACAACGATTTGTAAATAACTTTTAGTTTAAAGGCCTGTATGCAGCTCTCAAGAAAAGCAAAAACTCCATATAAAATGACGTACAAGAAATGGCTAAGAAATTTTCTTGAGTCAAATTTCCTTAAGGCAGTACGCAGTTCTTAAGAAATTTACTACGGTTTTCTAAAGTTTTTTGTGAAAAAAGAGCACAAGGCAACCCAGGTTTGCAACAGAAATATATGCCCGTTCCATTATTTCTTGAGGAAAGAGTGAGGCAACACACGCGAAATAATGGCAATTTTTTCTTGACCGTTTTCTTGAGAGCTGCATACAGGGCTTAAAAATGTGGTAAAGGGACCATGGTACCCTAGACCATGATACAAAAAAGAAGGTAGTTTCATTGTCACTTTTCGGGCACAATATTAACTACCTGACAATTAAGCAGATTGTGACATTTCGTGCTGCCATACCTAGTCCTCAATAATCATTTATTTATTGTAAAAAAAAAACAAAAAAACATTTACAAAATTAAAATGAATCTTGGCAAGCGACGACCTTATCTTAATGTCGTTAACAGACAGAAAGATAAAATTTGCAGCAAGGATACGATGCTAAGCAAAGAGGTAACAGTGACGATGTATTCCTGGTCGAACTAGGCTTTTTCCGCAATTGTTTTCCGATTTGTTGAAAGCTTTTGCAAATCCTAGCACAGAGATAAAAAGCGGATCAAAAGAGGCGAAAGATTTAGTTCGCCTTATTGCAATTTTTTTCGTAGACATCAAATTATCGACATTCTCAAAAAAAGTAAGCTGCAAAAAGTGTTTAGTTCTATTAGTTCATTATTCATAAAAGGACACACCTAAAAAAGTGCAGGTTTTATTAAAATTAATATATTTCGAAAGATTTTTTATTTTTTAATAAGATTTTTCTGGGCATTTGGTACGAAATCGGTTTCGTGAGGTGCCAACTCTGGCCCGTCATACCCGGAAATTCGATAGAATAATCGATGAATGTTATTAATTTGATTAATCTTGCCATCTGCAGTAGTAGGTAAACGAAGACAAAATAAATAAATAATTTGTTAATGTATTATGTGTATTACATAGACATTGCGTGTTTTGGAGAAGCCACCCGCACTATGAGGTTGTTGTTGTTGTTGTTGTAGCGGCTACAACAACCCCGCCCAGGACGGTTGGTATCTCAGTCGTCGTCAAGTTCCACTAACGGCAGCCCTAGGAAGCGTGCAGCTTCTGTAGGGTTGGTCCACAGGGACAGGGCCGTTAGGGTTGTCGGGTTTTCCGGGCATGCGAAGAGATTTTTCGAGTCATGTGGGGTCTCTCCGCATGCCGGACACTCATTCAATCTACTCAGGTAGGAGTTTAACCTGCTGCAGTAGCCAGTGCACTATGAGGTCTTATGGTTTCGTTGAAGATGTACGGGTAGATTGAACGTCTCTTCGAAATGGCTGATTTCATTGCTTATTAAGCGCTTTCATTTGTTTCCTTCCACCGGGTATTTGATTAAATGATTTTGTTAAGCCGTTGTCTACTCAAAGCATTATGAAACATAATAGGCAAATAGGTACCTCGAAGTCACAGTGCTCAATTCCATCATTATTGATCGCATTAACTTCGCTGATTCCTCCTAGAATAGTGTCTTTTCCAATCACAATAACAGTACAATGTTTGCGTTGTATATCTTGCCGTTGAAAACAAATTACATATCTTAATGAAATTACTAATTCCACTGGATCACAAATTTTAATTTGGTTTTTGTTCTCCAGACGCCACTATCCAACTTCTGTGTCGAATTGCTCGGTGATTCCGAAAATCGAGGTCATATTTTTTTTCTATGGATACGTTTTTGAGATATTAGCTATTTACCGTTATTCAGCTTAAAGCAAAAACTGGTTCCTTTTAATCACTTATATCTTACGAACCAATTTAAAAATCTTAATATAAAATACAGAAAATGAAAGCCAATGAAATTCTCCGTAAACGTATGTCATCACTTGCCGATAGGGCTTATAGTTTCGACAAATTAATTAATGATTCCAGTTTTTTTTTATGAAAAATGAAAAAAAATCGAACTTTAACAGAAGAAAAATTTAAAAAATAACAGGTTCTGTGCCAAATTTTTGCATTTGTACTAAAGCCTTTTCTGTAAAAAAAAAATCAAGTTACTAATGAAGAAAAAATATTAACTCTATTTTCGGAGTCACGGAGCAATTCTACGTAGGAATTGGATAGTGCATCCATAGAACATTCTTGCTGTAAACCAGTGTTCTTAAACTACAAAGTAGCAAAAAGATGCGCTTTCACAACAACAAAACGCTGAAGCACCAGCAGAGTTCTGTTTAGAATTTGCTGCTAAACTTGCATATATCACTGCATTTTGTAAATAGTTGCTAGTTGTGTGCAAAACGATTCGTCCACGTTGAAAGTTTGCTTAGCTGAAGTGGCTCTTATGATATGATATTCAAATACAAAAGCCAATTATTTCCATTATCTACGCATTCGTTAGCTTCCAGATGCTTAAATACTAAATTCAACGCTATATTCAAATTACTCTTAATTGAGCAGTGATTTGCAGCGTTTCGGGTAGTAGTTCAAGTGAAGAAATCAACGAGCGAATTAAATCAGTTGAGTGCATACAAACATATGTACATACCTACATATTTTGTACATTGTTCTGAATATACTTACATAGTTACAAATAACGCTAACAACAAAAAAAATTGCAATTAAAAGCCGCACCTAAACGCTGCCCGATTCCTGCCCAATATAGTGCCTATGTTGTTGTTGTGCCCACCTGCCGGCGACGGATATTGAAATTCTTCTTGCCTGCTAATTGTTAAAAATGGCCGATGGCACAGGAAGTGTGCATTTAAAATATATTAAAGAATATTTAATTGCGAAAATTCTGAATAAATTAGAAAACGAAAAGCTAGTGAAATATGAGCTGGAACATGCAAGTGGTCTGGATGGCTTCATGTCTGCGCTCTACAATATCCACTTGCATACTGAAACTGCCAAGGGGTGAGTAGCACGCTTACTAATGCCTCTTAGATCAGCACTAATCTATTTCCATATTTGCCCACCTACTATACAGCCCTCAACATCGCCTGCTGGTAGCCAAATTCATGAAAGGCGATGTTGCCTTCCGCGAGTCGAGCAAGTCGTACGTACAATTTGCCAATGAAATATTTGTATACCAGCGTGCCTTATCTGTTTTTGCTAAATTGCTTGCCTCTGCCAAGCTCAACATCACCATTGACGATTGGGTGCCACATCCTTATGTTGCGAAATTTGGTTACATTGAAGGTTTAAGCGCTGCGCCGGATGTACGTGAAGCGGTGCTGGTGCTGGAGCACCTCAAGCCGCGCGGCTATGTGCTGGGACCACGTCTTTACCTCACACGCGAACACTTGCTGCCGATGTGCAGGGTAATTGGTCAATTTCATGCAATGAGTTATGCTTTGCAGTTGATTGATCCCACGCAACTAGAATACTTGCGTAGTGATATAGTGACATTGCCTTTTATCAATGACGCCGATCCGACTGATGCGAAAAACAACTACTATCGCTACCTTTATCGAGCTGCCTTCGATCGTTTTTATGATTTTTTCGATCGCAAAATGGATGGCAATACTTTTGATAAGCAAAGTGCTGATGATTTGAAATTGATTGACCGATTGCGTGATTTGCGCGAGAAGTACAATGCCGAGCCGACGCGCTTGCTGGAGAAAATACGTACCAGTGTGCTGGATTGTGAGCAAGATAAGCGTTTTGGTGCTATTCTTCATGGCGATTATAATCGCAATAATGTACTTTTCCGCTATGAAGAGATGCAAGGCGCGGATGAAACGGAGCGGAAGGTGGCCGATGTAAAGATGATTGATTTTCAGGTGAGTTGTAGTTGGGTTGAGTGTGGGAATGTGCGCGGGCAATAGGAATAGTGACTGCCCTGGCAATAAGTAATCGTTTTCTTTTTGATACGGCTCGGTCGAACGAGCACATCAACATAGATGTGCTTAATTATTTTTCTAATATACAGCGCCACAATCACAAAACGTCTTCCTATCTTCCAGGAAATGCGCTATGGTAGTCCTTGCATGGATCTAAGTTTTTTCATGTTCATGAATACTACCAAAGAGACGCGTGCAGCGATATGGATGGAGATGCTGCAGACGTATCACACAAACATGTACGATACATTGAAGAGAGCCGTTGTGGCCAATGGCAAAGTGGATGCAGCTCAACTGGCGGCCTACAAGTAAAAGATGAAAAATTACTAATTAGAATTAGATTTTACTTACACTATTTTCTTGCAGTTTTGATGAATTTTATGCACACTTTAAGCGCTATGCCTTCTACGGCGTCATGATATGCCTACACTTTCTGCCCTGGATGCTTTCGAGTGAAGAAGAATGTGCAAAAATTTCGCATCTCTTTGAAACCAATATGCAAGGTGAAGAGTTTCATCGAGTTTCAATTGAGATTGGTGGTGACGAAGTAAATATGGAATTATTGGATGTGATGAGACATGCCTGCAAGTTGGGTTATATGGATGAGCTTTGAGGAATATAGTAAAAGAAAAGTGCGACTTTGTGAGTAGCTGGAAAGCTGAGGCGCCATAAAAGAGTGCGAAGACAGTAAATAAAAAAAGCAAATATTTTAAGAGAACTAAAGTGCTCGCTTTCGTGGAGCACTCCATGCCTNGGATGTGATGAGACATGCCTGCAAGTTGGGTTATATGGATGAGCTTTGAGAAATATAGTAAAAGAAAAGTGCGACTTTGTGAGTAGCTGGAAAGCTGAGGCGCCATAAAAGAGTGCGAAGATAGTAAATAAAAAAAGCAAATATTTTAAGAGAACTAAAGTGCTCGCTTTCGTGGAGCACTCCATGCCAGAAGCCAGCTGCAGCGTTTAAGCAAATAATGTATGCATTGTATATATTTATTTAGCTTTATAAAATGCGCACTGTACAAAGTTAACATTACTGCTTAAGCTTTATTTTAAAATTTTTTTGTTTAGCTTTGCTAAAATTAAATAAATCTGAAGAGAGAAAAATAGTATTAAAAGCAAAAATGCCATATACTATATCTATATGAATATTAATAAAAAAAATTTTAAATTTTACTTTGCAACCGTAAGGCATTTTTATTGGTTTTTGCAGGTGTAAAGATTTTCCAGTTTGCCAACTTGTATGCATAAAACTAAAAATATAAATAAAAAAATGGCATTCCAACTAGAAACGTTTTTCAGATTAAAATGTTTATAACAGCTTTTTAGTTTGATGCATATTTTACAAAATTTTACCACTATTAGATTTTTTATATATATAGAAGGCAACCATTTTAAAAACTGGTTCAGATTAAAGCTTTGATTATCATTTTAAATAACTTACATTAAATGGGGTTTAATATTAAAAAAATAACCTCTGCAGTGAAGTATCTTGAAATAAATTTAAGTTACAAGTGCGTTCAACTACCTTTCTTTTTATAACCATATTGTAATATTTTAGTAAAGTTTAGTTTAGTTTATAGTTCAATAATTATTTATTTTTTAAAGTTGTACATGCATATGTATTCCTTTCATATATACTTTCTTAATATGCGGCAACCCTGTATCAAATTATTTTTGGGTTAAAGATTTATTAAATACCTTTCGTCAAATATCCATATTATAATATTTCTATGGTGAGGTCATATATGTATACATATGTATGTATATACATATGTGCATACATATACACTGGCGGCAGAAATATTGGACTCGTCGTACTTTTAAGAATGTTTGCTATATTTTTTAGTCTATTTTGAGATTAACAGCCTAATTCCGTATCATAAATTANATTTAATTTAATTTAATTTAATTTAATTTAATTTAATTTAATTTAATTTAATTTAATTTAATTTAATTTAATTTAATTTAATTTAATTTAATTTAATTTAATTTAATTTAATTTAATTTAATTTAATTTAATTTAATTTAATTTAATTTAATTTAATTTAATTTAATTTAATTTAATTTAATTTAATTTAATTTAATTTAATTTAATTTTGTTTTATTTTATTTTATTTTATTTTACTTTATTTAATTTCATTTAATTTTATTTAATTTAATTTAATTTAATTTAATTTAATTTTATTTAATTTAATTTAATTTAATTTAATTTTGTTTTATTTTATTTTATTTTATTTTATTTTATTTTATTTTATTTTATTTTATTTTATTTTATTTTATTTTATTTTATTTTATTTTATTTTATTTTATTTTATTTTATTTTATTTTATTTTATTTTATTTTATTTTATTTTATTTTATTTTATTTTATTTTATTTTATTTTATTTTATTTTATTTTATTTTATTTTATTTTATTTTATTTTATTTTATTTTATTTTATTTTATTTTATTTTATTTTATTTTATTTTATTTTATTTTATTTTATTTTATTTCATTTCAGATTTTTTATTTTTATTTTTTATTTTTTTTCGTAGGAGAGGTAAATGCTTTATGCACTGGCCGGGGGCGCTAGTCTCTACACTACCTTCCCCGAGTGTGGGACTCCCACCGAAGCGTGTTGGGCTACCCACTAAAACCCAAACTCCCACCGCCCGCGCAAGAATCCCGCATCTGGCACCGCAATTCTGCATGTCTTCAGATGCAGGAGCGCGCTGTTAGAGCCTTGGGGCTGCTCTTTTGTAGGGGCGTTTCATTCGGGTGTCCTCAGTAGACAACCGTCCTCTCGTTTGCAGCGGAGTACGAATTTCACGTATCTCGCAACTGCTTCCCACTTTTCTGCGCTGGAAATCATTATCCCAACTATGTTGTCCGGAGTAATGTCTCCGTGTCTTTCTTCCAACATTCTGCGC